CCCAGCGCCGCCCTTCCCCGCGGCTCAGCCGGCCTCTGCCCTCTTAGCCGCCGCGCAGCGCCGGCCCCCCGTGCTTCCTCAGGAAGTGCGTGGAGGCCGGGCGAGATGAACAATTAGCACGTCTTATCTGGCTCTTGCCACTTCCAGCCCTACTTGTATCTGTGTTACTCAGAGGAGGATAGTGAGGAACAGAGTGGGGAATCGATTTTTCTTGTTTTTTCTGTGAATAGGGGCGGTGTGTGTGTGGACGGGGCGGGCGGGGGGTGCGGTGGTCGTGGGAGGAACGGCTATGTTGCTCAGGCTGGTCTCGAACTCCTGGGCTGAAGCGATTCTCCTGCCTCGGCTTCCCAAAGTGCTAGGATTGATTACAAGCGTGAACCGCAGCGACCAGCCTCTTTATTATTTTTTATTTTTTTGAGTCGGAGTCTCTCTGTAGCCCAGGCTGGAGTGCAGTGGCAGGCTCATCGCCACCGCAACCTCCACCTGTTGGGCTCAGATGATCCTTCTGCCTCAGGCTTCCTAGTACCTGGAACCACAAGCATGCGCTATCACGCCTGGTTAATTTTTCTTGATTTATGGTAGAGTCCTGGCCCTTAAATCGTCCTTGTACTACCTCCCTAGTAAATGAGCCTTCCAGCAGCAGCGGGCCTTTTTTGTAGGTTACTAGGACCCAGGTGCCACCACCCAGAAGCTCATAGTCAAGGGAGAGGCCTAAGCAATGATCAGCTGTATAACAGTCCTGACACCTAAGAGGGGTGTTGGCAAGTTTTTTTGGTTTTTTTGAGTTGGAGTCTCACTCTGTCGCCCAGACTGGAGTGCAGTGGCCGCTCCCGGCCACCGCAGCCTCGACCTGCTGGGCTCCGGCGATCCTTCCACCTCAGCCTTCCGAGTAGCCGGAATTACAGGCATGCGCTACCACGCCCGGCTGATTTTTTGATTTATTGTAGAAATGAGGTCTCACTGCCCAGGCGGGTCTCGAACCGGCGGGCTCAGGCAATCCACTCACAGCCTCCCAAAGGTGCGTGATTACAGGCTGAGCCACCGAGCTGTAAAGACTAGGCAGTAAATATTTGGGGCATGACCACCCATTATGTCTCTGTTGCAATATAGTTGAGTTAATAGATGTAACCTTAGGCAATGAGATTTGAATTTTGTATAATCTGCACATGCTACAAAATAGTCTTTGTGATTTTTCAGATGGGTGTGGTGGCTCCCACCTATAATCCCAGCACTTTGGGAGGCCAAGGTGAGAGGATTGCCTGAGCCCACAGGTCTCAGACCAGCCTGGGCAACATGGTGAGACTTCATCTCTACTATAAATCAAGAAAAATTAGCTAGGCATGGTGGCATGTGCCAGTAGTTCCAGTTACCTGGAAAGCTGAGCTGGAAGGATCACCTGAGCCCAGCAGGTCGAGGCTGCGGTGGCCGGGAGCGTGCCACTGCACTCTGGGCAACGGAGTGAGACACCAACTTAAAAAAAATTTTTTTACATAGTGTTTGCACCGGGCTCAGTGGCTCAGCCTGTAATCCCGCACCTTTGGGAGGCTGAGGTGAGTGGATTGCCTGAGCCCGCGGGTTTGAGAACCACATGGGCAAATTGGCAAGACCTCATCTCTACAATAAGTCAAAAATCAGCTGGGTGTGGTAGCGCATGCCTGTAATTCTGGCTACTCGGAAGGCTGAGGCGGAAGGATCGCCAGAGCCCAGCAGGTCAAGGCTGTGGTGGCAGGGAGCAGCCACTGCACTCCAGTCAGGGCGACAGAGTGAGACTCCAACTCAAAAAAAAAAAAATAGTGTTTGTATTTTTTCCTTAACCATTTAAAACAGTTAAAATGATTAATTGACAAGCCATATAAAACCAGCTGGTAGGTCATACTTGGCCCCCTTGGCCATAACACCTAACCTAGAATGTCAGAGCTAAAAGGTACCTCAGCCGGGACCAGGTACTGACCAGATCCTGGTCCTCAGGGTTACACAATAAATCCATACTAGAAACTACATTCCAGTTTTCCTGGGCCAGACCAAGGCTCTTCTACCACATTGCTTTGTGCTAAGAAAATGACATTGGGGCCGGGCGCAGTGTCTCACACCTGTAATCCCAGCACTTTGAGAGGCAGAGGCATGAGAATTGCCTGGGACCAGGGGTTGCAGGCAAGCCTGGGTAACTTGGCGAGACCTCATCTCTACAATAAATCAAAATATTAGCTGGGTTTGATGGCACACACCTGTAGTTCCAGCTACTTGGATCACCTGAGCCCAGCAGGTCAAGACTATGATGGCCATGAGTGTGCCACTGCACTTCAGCCTGGGCAACAGAGTGAAATTCCAACTCAAAAAAAGAAAGAAAGAAAGAAAGAAAATGACATTTGGAATTAGAGAGGCCAGGCACAGTGGCTCGGCCTATAATCCCAGCACTTTGGGAGGCCGAGGTGAGAGGATTGCCTGAGCCCACAGGTTCAAGACTAGACTGGACAACTTGGTGATACCTAGTCTCTACAGTAAATCACAAAAACTAGCCGTGTGTGGTAGTGTGCATCTGTAGTTCCAGCTACTTGGAAGGCTGAGGCAGAAGGATCACCTGAGTCCAGCAGGTCAAGGCTGCAGTGGCCATGAGCGTGCCACTGCACTCCAGCCTGGGTGACAAAAGTGAGACTCCAACTCAAAAAAAAAAAAAGGAATTAGAGAAAATTAGAAAAGAGAAGTCTTTCTGGAGAAATGGGAAATTGGCTTTATCCTGAAGCCTAGGTATCATAATTAATAAGTATCTGTTGAATTAATGAAAGTGATTTATTTGGCCAGGCTCAGTGGCTCACGCCTATAATCTCTGCACTTTGGGAAGCTGAGGTGAGAGAATTGCCTGAGCCCATGGGTTCGAGACCAGCCTGGGCAACTTGGCAAGACATCATCTCTACAATGAATTAAAAAAAACAACTAGCCAGGTGTGGTTGTGCACGCCTGTAGTTCCACCTACTTGGGAGGTTGAGGTTGAAGGATCGCCTGAGCCCAGCAGGCCGAGGCTTTGGTGGCCGGGAGGATGCCACTGCCCTGCAACTGGGATGACAGAGTGAGATTCCAACTCAAAAAAAAGTGATTTATTTTATTTTTATTTTATTTATTTTAGTAGAGACAAGGTCTTGCTATATTGCCCAGGCTGGTCTTCAACTCCTGGGCTCAAGAAATTCTCCTGCCTCAGCTTCCCAAAGTGCTGTAATCACAGGCATGAGCCACTATGCCCAGTCTAAGAAAGTGTTATTAACTAAACAAAAAAGAGTGGAGACCTGGGCACGAAGGCTCACGCTTGTAATCCCAGCACTTTTGGAGGCAGAGACAAGAGGATTGCCTGAGCCCAGGGGCTCGAGACCAGCCTGGGCAACTTGGTGAGACCTCGTCTCTACAATAAATTTTAAAAAATTGTCCGGGCATGGTGGCATGCACCTGTAGTTCCAACTACTTGGAAGGCTGAGGCAGAAGGATTGCTTGAGCCCAGCCAGTCGAGGCTGCAGTGGCTGTGAGCATGCCACTGTACTCCAGCCTGGGCGACAAGAGTGAGACTCCAACTCAAAAAAAAAAGAGTTGGGAAAAGCACCCCAAGAAGGACAACCAAAATGGGAAAGAGTGTAAGGACTTCGAGATAGGAATATAAGTGTGTTGTTTGATAAAGAGGATTAGACACATTTGACTGGAAAGGTAGGAATGAATAACATATTGGAAGATGAAGACAAAAAAAGAGGGCCATAAAGTTCAGGCTAAGAAATTTTTCTTTGAAGCTGGGCGCAGTGGCTCACACCTATAATAAGCACGTGGGGAGGCCAAGGTGAGAGGATTGCCTGAGCTCAGGGGTTCAAGACCAGTCTGAGCAACTTGGTGAGACCTCGTCTCTATAGCAAATCAAAAAATAACCCAGGCATGTTAGCGTGTGCCTATAGTTCCAGCTACTAGGAAGGCTGAGGCGGAAAGATCACCTGAGCCATTGAAGTAGAGGTGGCGATGGCCATGAGTGTGCCACTGTACTTCAGCCTGGGTGAGAGTGAGACCCCAACTCCAAAAAAATAAAAAAAGAAATTTTGACTTTAATTTGACTTTAATGAGTATACAAGGGGGGACCCCAAAATACTGTAATTATTTTTTAGAGGGTGGGCCCCTTGTAGTACAGGCTTTCCCTGATAGATAAGTGTTCTGGGAACCCACTGGCATCAATGTACTAGTGTTGCTGTGAGAGGCTGCTTTCAGCTTCAGTGAAGTTTATTTATTTATTTATTGAGATTCAACACCTTTGTCCATTTCATAATGGGTGATTTAGGAGCACACTTGCCCACACCACAATGAGTGTTCAGCAGTTTTTGACCAAAAAGGACATGACTCCTGAGCCCCACCCTTCCTATTCACCTGACCTCACCCCAAGCGACTCTTTTTGCTTCCCCGATGAAAAAAGTCTTCAAAGGGAAACACTTTATGATGTGGAAGCAGTAAAACAAAAAACAGCAGAGGCGTTAAAAGGCATAAAAATTGACGAGTTCAAAAACTGTTTTGAGCAGTGGAAAAAGCATCCCAATAGGTGTATTGAATCAAACGGAGAGTACTTTGAAGGTGACTGAAGTTTAAACATGTAAGAATAAGTACACAATTTTTTATAAATAAATTCTGAGTTTTTTGGGGTCCCCCTCATATACTAAAGGTATACATACTCCTATACTTTTTGCATTTGCAGTGTCATTTGCAAAATGATGTTTTAGGAAGATAA